GAACAAAATATAATTTATATTGCCCCCAAACAGTGGGCACCCCTACCCTTTGCCCAAAGAAGGGTGCCACAGATACTTAGTAATGTTCTCTAGAGTTTCCTCAGAAGCAGATCTCCAGTTGCCTTCCTACTCCCATCAACTGTGCTGTGTCCAGAGCTGGGCCCCGCCCTGCCCAGCACGGGTCACCACGTTGCAGTTCTGAAGCTATGCTAACTCATGCAACCTATCCTATAGCGTAACTAGTATAAATAAGTAAAACTAAAAACAATATAACACACCTCTTACTGTCCATCTCCTTTGGCTTTTCAGTTTGAGACTTTCTGGAGAAGAAGTAGCCAGTGCTCGTTGGCACTCACTCCTCCACAGACCTTGAAGCAGAGCATGGGGAAAGGGGAGTACAGGTACCAGAATAGCTTCTACAACCCACCCCCCAAGTCTGCAGGTGGAAGACGCTTTAGACATCATCTAACCCAAGTTCTCTAGGGAATAAAGCTCAAAGGCAAAGTAACTTGCCCAATGTCCTATGACATGAGTGCCAAGGTGAACCAAACAATCAGGCCCCTTACTCTACTATCATTCTGACCTCTGCAGCAGCTAGGTCAAAAAAAAAAAAAAAAAAAAAAAAAAAAACCTTTTTTTTATTTGCCAGATGGGCCAGGTAAAGCATAAAGGCATATAAAGGCCACAGAGAGATGAGAATCAGAGACTCTAATCCAAAAAACTAATAAATGCAAATGAGAGCCAGCCAACCAGGGGTAGAGTTGAAAAGCTACCATGAGATGGTAAAAAGTTGAGTTACTGAATGACGGTGTTCTATCATGGGTGTTGATATCAAGCTTGACTTGATTTTACTTTTGGAAATAGTCTCAGTCTTAAACGCCCTTCCAGCCTCAGCCTTCCTGAGTGCTGAGATTGTACCACATCTGGCCCTTGACCTTTCTCTCTCCAGTGCTGGGAATCAAACCTAGGGTCTTGTTGGACATGCTATCTACCACTGACCTACACCCAAACCTCTTTAAATCATGTTTTAAATAACTTCAGAAGCAACAGGATAATTAATACTTGTTTGTTCTGGTATTTTTTATCACATGCTTTGATGAAAATGAATTGTTTTGGGAATGACATGGGTAAGAGCACTGAGCTGGACCTTGCTGGTTGACAAGAGTGTAAGCCATAAGCAAGAGGAAGGGATGCTGTTTAACCCACTGGGTACTCCTCTGTGGTTCTGTTTCAAGATAATTAGGCCAGCGGTTTTCAGCAGGTATTATTCTGACCCCCACAGATATATGTGAGCATCTGGAGATATTGCTCATTGTCACAGCTCAGTGGTTGGGGGAGGGTGCTCTGAGACCCGGGGTGCTACTAAGCATCCTACAATGACAGGACAACCCCTTGCACTGAAGAAAATCCCACCCAAAATGTCAGTGGTACTGAGGCTGAGATTGCTAGATTAATGAGGCAATGGATGCCACACATGAAAAAGTGGGAAATCCACTGTATGCCTTTGGTCAGTAGCAAACACTTGGCCTAGAGTTGCGTCCTGTAAGACACTTTGTTTTTGGTAGCTTACTGTAACAACCAGAGTTGTTGTTGCTTGGGGAGGGAACTGGACTGACTGGCCTGTAAGCTGCAAAGGAGTCTCTGCCTCCCCAGGGAGTACAGGTTTGTGCTGCCATATGGGGGCTAGAAATCAACGATGGTCCTTGGTACACAGGGAGGGGCTGCACACACTTTACCCAATGAGCCACCCTGGAAGCTCCCAAGTCACATTTAAAATAGTCAAGGAGCATTAACACCTAGGAGCCAGCCATCTTTCCAAGTGCAGCCTCCCTTTAACAGAGCCCCTCCCCCAAAAGAGCAGAGCCGGCCGCTACACTTGCAGATGCTTTACTTTCTCTGCACAACACGTTTTTATTACAGGAGCAGGTTCTTCTTTTTCTTATTTTTTTCTACCTTTTTTGTTGTTGTTTGTCTGTCTGAGATAGGGTCTTACAGTAAGACCCTATATAAACCAGGTTGGCCTCTAACTCATTTGAGATAGGGTCTTACAGTAAGACCCTATATAAACCAGGCTGGCCTCTAACTCATTTGAGATAGGGACCCTATATAAACCAGGCTGGCCTCGAACTCAGAGATCCACTTGCCTCTGCTTCCCAAGTGTTGGGATTGAAGGCATGTGCCACCAGGCCTGGCCTGCCATTATTCTCTAGAGTGAAAAGCAGGGAGCATGCTAGGTGGGGATTGTCTGAATTTGGGAATGTTATTGATCCATGTATCCATTCCACAGTTGAAAAATGCCTCCAGGGTTACAAATTGTTAGAAAATAAGACTTGGTTCTATTTTGAACTCATTAATTTCTTTATCTCATACTTTTTTCAGTTATTGACCTTTGGCTCGGCTAAGCAGGTGCACTGGCCCCCCATCACTCTTTGGGTGTTTTTTTGCACCACAGATATCTGATAAGACTCAATCTCTCCCCTCACTGCAGGCCTGGTATCAGCAGAGATAAGGGAGTGGCACTGGGGAGTGGGGTGTTTCCTCCTTATCAGTCACTGCCTTGGGGCCACGCCCCTAGGTGTATAAATCCATGACCAGCTCTGGAGGAAATTCATTTGATAAAGCTGCCATTAGTGTCATTTAATGATAGGAACCTAGAGAGGTGTGACCTGGTGGGGACAAAGCCACTGCCACTAGGGCATAGCTAGCCCAGACAGAGTCACTAGGAGACCTGCCTCTGACCTTCATCCTGACTGGCAGGAGCAGAGGGATAGGGAAAGGGAGAGCACAAAGGTGACCCAGCTGTGTCCAGCACAGCCAGTGTCCAGGAGGCAAGCATCAGAGTCACCTGTAAGGGGCTGTGTCAATTCAGTTTGCAGGGTCCTTCCACCTGTATTTGCTCATTGTAGTCTCCTGGCAACCCAATGATTAGGAAGAAGTCATGGTCAGAAAAGAGGAAACTGACTTAAGAAAAACAATCCACCTAGGGTAGCCCAGCTGCAGAGACATTAGTGACTTGACACTGACATCTGGCCTCAAAGCTCTGCTTCCCCTGCTGCCTCCTGCATATCCCTGCTCAGATAGCCAGCCATGTGGCCACCAATGGGAACACTGGCTGGTGCCAGTGCTCTGGGTTCTATTGACACCTCTATGGTCTCTGTGGCGACCACTAGCCCTTTGGGAAGCTTAGTTTTCTGCTCTGTGAAATGAGGAGCTTGATGCCGATCCACACAGAGAAGCCAGGCTGCAGAGAGGCCTCACAGAATGCCCAAGGGGCACAGCTTACCCTGTACCAGGAACTGCTGGACACTTTTACCCGTGATCTCATTCAAGGCCTGCAGCACCCTGATGTGATGGCTGCTCACGTTATCTGCACTAAACTAATGAGCACACTGACGCTTACCAGGTGAGGTCACTAGCTCCAGGGCATCATGTAGTCTGCATGGATGGCATACCAGATACCACAGGCTGGGTGGCTCAGAGATGTGTTTCTCACGGCTCTGGGGGCTGGAAGATGCGGAGCAGGGTTGGTTTTGATGATGGTTTTCATCCTGGCTCACTGATGGCTTCACATAGCTCACAGGGAAGGGAGACACTACGACGTTGAGACATTCTGCTTGTGTTAAAGACATTAAGCCAGTTGGACCAGAGATACGCCCTTACCTTAATTAGTTCCCTAGCACTACCCAAATGCTGTCACCAATAGGAGTCACCTTGTAGCTTGAACTTCTTTATGGGAACTCTAAGGGGGACACAACTCTGGGATGGAGAAGCAATTTGCAGTTCCTTATCTATTTATTCTCTTAATAGCCACTATCCCCACAGATGCAAGAGCCAAGCTGGGAGCTGGTACTGCTGCAGGGTAGGAAGCCTCTGTTGGCCAGCTTTTCACTAGACCCCTTCCCAACAACTTCCAAGTCACTGCCTCCTCCACAGGGTGTGGCTGCATCAGTGGGAAGAGCCTCCTTGGGCCAAGCCATTGAATCCTGCTTGGTGATGCTAGAGATAAAACACTGGCACATTAGGGGATGGTGACAACCCATACCCAGCACAGGCCCAGGGTGAACCCTGAAGACAGCTCCATGTGACACAGGTCCAGGGATGGATAAGATCCTGTAGGCAACTCCCTGGGCTCCCAGAGTAAGGAGAGAGTCTCCTTTCAGAGCTCATGTGTGGCAGGATAGAGCTCCGTGCACATGAGCAGGTCATTGGCTGGGGTAGCCAAGGTCATTAGTCATTGCTGAGAACTTCACAGTGAAAACAAGCTGCAAAGTCAGACTCCTGTGCAGACTCCAGCAGGCCAGACAAGCAGCTAGTCATCATCTGGGAATGTCTCCTCTCCATAAACTGCCAGATCTGCCCTGGTGGTAAGAAAATTTTCTTCCCCACTCTTTCACTCTTCCTTGTTCACACTTAGGTCACACAGGTAGACTTGGAAAGGTGGAAGGGTTCTCCTAATTTTAAAAAGTGCACAGAGTAATAGGCCCCAGGACATCATTCCGAGAATGGAAATGTGCCCTTTTACCTTCCCAAACTGTCACATAAAAGCAGGGAGTTAAGAGGGCTAAGTAGAAAGCTGTGCCCTGGCGTACAGAGCAGGGCTGCTGTGGCCTGCTGAGGGTTGCTGCTGCCCAGGCAGTAGGCCACATTTTCTGCCATTCACCCTAGCATTTCTACTCTTTCTTTGTGGAAAGGAAACTGGCTTACAGAGCCCCCACTGCTCCCGGTTGTCACTGTTACAGGAGTCACTGGGTCAGTGTTGACTCCCCTCCGCCGGAGCCAATGTCTCATGAGGCCGGCTCTCATCACGGGAGAATTGTGTCACTAGTGAAACTTAACACGGAGCCCTTTGGAAACAGACACAGCCCGTGTGTCTCAGTTCTGCCTCTTCCCAGGGACAGAGATGGCAAGAGGAACAGACAGTGCCCCAGGCTTCACCGAGGTCCCACAAGGCTCTTGGGCTCCGCTGACTTGCTAATCTTCTCCATGCTTGGTCCTTGCAGGTGTGAAAGCTGTGGAGCTGTCTTCCATTCCGAATGCAAAGAAAAGTCTGTCCCCTGCCCACGGTGTGTCCGCCGGGAGCTGCAGAAGAAGCAGAAGTCCTTCTGGCGGCAGCTGAATGTGGACGAAAGCCTAGAGGAGGCCTGCACCATGTTCGAGCTGTCCTACCAGAACACCTGACTGCAGGCCAGGCTGTACTCACTCACTCACAACCACCCGAGCGGCCACTCAGGTCCATGCAGATGAGGCTGTTTTTTCTCCAGCTAGATGTAGATATCTAAGTTATTTATTTATATCATACACACCTATACATCCTGTACATATGCTTCATATAGCCCATTGTCCCAGAGGCCCATAGTGATCCTGTGGCTGAACTCCTACCAGGTAGCTGAGATACACTTGGCCATGAAATTCAGCTGCTTGCTCCCAGAAACTGTGGTTTACATACTTTGCTCTGTAGTACAGACCTCTGTACTCACACTGGCTCTAAGGACCAGTCTACTGCACAGGCATCGGAGGAAGCATCTCCCACAGCAAAGCTTTGGGTTGTTACTGAGTTTTAGCCTCTGCTGGGGAAACTGAGACAGAGACCATTGTCGTTGGCTTCACAAAGAAATCTCCAAAACTCAAGAATGCTTCTAGATCCTTCCAGGCAGAGATGAGAAGAGTGAAGCAGAGCCACCCAGCAGAGACCCAGAGGGCCCCTCCCCCCAGCAGGAAGCATGAGGAGCAGAGCTACCCTGGGTTTGACGTTAATCCCTGAACGTGTGTCCAGAAGGACCTCAGTGGCCAGTCATTGCAGCATGCCCTCCTTCTGTTTGCTGGTTCGAAGCCCAGAAGCTGCCAGAGGATACCTGCCAGAGTGGGTGTCCTAAGAACAGATTTCCAAGCATGGATCGGAGGATGTCTGTTATTTTTTCATAGTGCTGGTCAGGAGGAAATGTCCCAGGATTGTCCTCAAGCATATCAGTGTGTAGGTATGCCACACATATCTTGGGGGACACATTGTTTCCTTTCCTAGAGTGCCCACCTGTCATCTCGAATGTTTTATTTCTCATTGTCCTTCTCAGTACCTTTGACCCTTAATTAGTCCGTGTAACTATTCCTGCTTTTGTATTCTGGGTGTTTTGTTTGTTTGGGATGGGGGCAGATTTTAACACAGGGTCTTGCTATATATCTCTGGCTGGCTTCAAACTTGTGATCCTGCTGCCTCATCCTCCAAACACTGGGACTACAGGTGTGTACCACCATACCTACCCTGGCTTTACTTGTTTTTAATTATTTAAAAAATTATTTAAAATTAAAAATTATATAGTTATTAAAGAGTAACATTTTAAAAAAGACCAACCTAAATTATTAAGAAAATACCAAACATAAGTAGAATTCATGAATTTAATATTATTGGAATAAGTAGATATATACATATATAATTGCCACCTTCCAGTAACACAAAAAGTAAATAATACAGGAGAGAGAAATGAATCACTTTGCTATCTGGAGGGCAGTGTCCTCCCCTTGTAAGAGCCTGTGTAGTTGTCACTGTGACCAAGATGGCTGGTAGAATGGCCCTGGGAACCTGATGGCCAGCATTCCTGCTGCCTTAACACAAGGAAGTAATTTGTCTGTCTGTCTGTCACATTGAGCCGATGCTGTCCATGCTTTCTTTCAACCTTTCGGGTTTTCACTGCTATTCAGATCTGAGGGAAACACTGACTCACAATGTCCTTGTCCGTTTCATCTCCACGTTGCTCCTGCAGGCACCAGCTCTTGATGCTCTGTCCACTAGAAGACATCCGCTGACTTGTGCAGCTAGGGGTGAGCATTTCACCTCTCAGCCCACACCATTTCCTTCTGCCCCAGACCACACAGTTCAGCGCTACACAAGTGTTCATTTCCTGGCTACCTAGAAGCTATAACCAAGGCATGAAACTTGGTAAAAAGGCCAGGGCCCTATTTGCCAGACACCTCACGGTGCCTCTTTTAAACTCTTGGAAAAGGTTGACACCCCCTCAGATGGAGTGGTAGAGAATGTTGCACACAAAAGACAAGGGTGGGAAGTCTCCAACACTTGGCAAATAGGCAAACAAGTTTGAGTGTCTCCCTTCCTCCTCCCCTTTGTGAAATACAGTATTTATATTTTCCAGCCTCAGAGAAGAGAGCAAAACACGATCTTTCACAGGAGAATTATAGACCTGCTTATTATGAAACAGATGTGCTCCCGTGGCACAGTGCCTTCTCTCTCCACCCCCAAATCCCTGTCACTGCAGCTTAGTCTTTGGCTTTGCTGTAATTAATGTATCTGTGATTCGAACTATCAAGGAGGCTGTTCCCAGCACACTGAGTATGGAGACCTGAAGAACAGAGCCCACCCCCATACACACACACACACACACACACACACACACACACACACTTACTTGCCCTGTGTACAGAATGTCCTGCCCTGAATCATGGGTGCCCAAGGTCAGACCTGCCAAAAGTCAAGGGCGAAATCTGACTCCCAGCTCAAGACACCTGAGTTGTCCCCTTAGAGGGCCCTGCTGTATGTGAAACAGACCTTGGGAGTGCCTAAGAACTTTCCCGGGACATTGCTTTTTGCTTCCTTTTTAAAGGTAAAAAAGATAAATGCATTGTCATCAGCGATCTAAAACTGGAGCCAGGTCACCACTGCTTCTCTCCACTCTGTTGTACATCCCTGATAGCCTAGTCCATGCCAGCCATGGGCTCGCAACAACCATTTCTGCCACCGCCACCAAAATCTGATAGGACACAGTGGAGCCAGCTTAGGAGTTGGGTCTACCATGAAAATTCAAAATTGCCAGTCTCAATCCAGAATGTCATAGAGTGCATGAAGGCCCTTACTGTTTTCAGGTCTAACAAATGAGTTGGTGCAGTGTTAGGTAATTGTTCTACTGCTTAGAAACCACTGAAACAAAAGCAAGCCTGTGGATTTCCACCTCCTTTTTTCATCTCAGTAAATATCATACACGTAAAGCATAATGGAAAACGGCCCATTAATCTCCTGGAGCTGGCAGCGCAGTCCAGGGAACTGCTTTTCACTAAACAGCCCATTCCCTGGTGTAGCACAAGAATTCCCTCCTGCTCATGCCAGAAACTCATGTGTGACACCATCCAGCCTGGGGGAAGTGTTGGCACCCAACCCCACCGTCAAGCAGCCAGTTCCTAAAATAGACCTGTGTTTGCACTGCAGCAGGAAGGCCACAGAGTGCTCAGAGGCAGTCAATCCACTGTGGTGGGAGCCGGCCTCTTCCCAGGGCTGCCTGTTCCCAGAGTTGAAAACAGTTTTATATGAAATCATGTAAACTCTGCTTTCTCCCTAACTTTATTTGCCGAATAAGGGTCAGTTTTGGGCAGCTTCACATTTGATGAGTTGAGCGGTGACCACTTCTTAATTCTTCTATAACAGGTCTCTACCAAAAAAAAAAAAAAAAGAGAATACAACTATAGTGCCTTGGGATTTGCAGGTTCTGGCACAGTCATGAGATAGCCCAGTGTTGTGTTCCCCTCAGTTGCCCCCAAACAAAGTCTCTGTCACTGTGGCTAAGTTGCAGTGCAGCCTCTGGTGAGGTCTGGCCTCTATCTCTGCTTGTTATGTGTGCACACTGAATATGAGCACCCCTGGGTTTCCTTCTGCACCTCCTTAAGGGAGCTTGACTTCTAGCCCTGCAAGTCCATTCTCTATCTGTGGGCCAAAAAACACCAGACACAAACTACCTATCAGAGCAGGACCACAGTGATGGCACACACACTGAGCACCGGCTACAGAGACAGCTGCCATCCAGGAGGAGGAGACACATTCTGCTGCTCATTTGGGGAGAACCCTGCCACTCTCACCCTGCAAGTCAGCCCTCTCTGTCACCTCCCAGGGGTTACTGAAATCACTATATTAAGAACTATAATCTTTGACCCTTTGTGGGAATACTGCCTGGTTACAACACAGACTTTATTTTGTTTTGTTTTTTTCTTTTTCTCATAGTAAATGGAGATGTGTGCAGCTTTATTTGGGGGAGTTTTCTATACTACTTTTCATCTTCTGAAATAATGTGGAGAAGTCAGGAATTTGAGACAACAGGGAAAGAAACTGGCACCTTGCTCCTTGGTTGGAGCCACCGGCCATTCTCCTCATCCCCACCTTGGTGCCAACTTGTTGATGGTGGGTGTTAGGAGCCTGGGTCACTGTCCTACTCCTTTCCACTCGCCTGACCCCAGGTGACTACAATGTATGTGAAGAACCCCCTCAGTTGACCTAACCCATGCTGATCTCTGTCACAGGGACAGTGTCTTGACAGTTAAGTCTCAGCACCCAGCAGTCTCTCTCTGTAGACAGTTCTGTCTTTTTTTTTTTTTTTTTTTTTTTTTTTTTTTTTTTTTTTTGATTCAAAACTCTCTGACTCAAAAATTTCTTTCTGGTTTTTTTTAGTGGGTGCAGGGCTAAGAAAAAAAAAAAAAAAAAACTCCACTAGAAAACTCAGTAAAAAAAAAAAAAATCAAAACTCAGTAAAAAAAAAATCAAAGGGAAAGCTGGGACATCTCCTAGCCTGACCACACCTGTCAGAGGTTTTACTTAAAAAAATGGGTTCCTGATGACCAGAGCATGTAGCACTGGCTTCATAAAGTTGGCTCTGGTGTTATGGGAAGCACTAGCAAGTGGGATACTAGCCACTCTGCCGGGCTTCCTCTCTGAGGGAAGAGGCCACTGTCTGCTCATCTTTTTAGAAAGCACCTTAGTCACGCCACTTGTTTCCCAGGCCAGATGAATAAGCTGCCTCCAGCAGCTTTTCCACAGTTGGGTCCCTCTAGCTAGCCATGCAGACCAGCCCTGTCCCCACTTTGACTCCTTTGCCCTCATCCTCAGCCCTGGTCCAGATCTGGGTCTCTTGCTAATACACCACCTAGTAGACAACTGGCCTACAGCTCTTTCTTCTCACCGTCCCTTTTCCCCTGTAGGAGTGCCTTATAGTCTAGAGTAGTCTGACCCACTTGAAGCCTACAGGACCCTTCAGCTAACCACGGATCCCTTCGCTCTTCCTGCTGGCTGCTCTCAGCATACACTGCATCTGGACCCCGTAGATTCCATGATGCATATCGGACCTTCCAGCTTTGCCTAACCTGGTGCCTTAACTTCACAAGTGAAGGGATTCACACTGCAAACACGTTATTTGAGTGAAACATCGGTTTCTTCAGTGCCATTGGCACTCTTACCAGGAAATACAAAAGACATAATCATATAATGTTTTGACCGTATTTTATGTTTCTTAGTCACTCTGTTTGCTTGCTTTCATCAACCAATCTCAGGGGAATGTCATGTCACCAAGGTCAATGAGGGAAGAAACTAGCTACCCAGAACTGAATATGTAAAACCTACTAATTTAGTCTTTATTAAGTTCAAAAGTAACACCAACACAAAGATCCCCCTTCCTTTAAAGATTTTCTTTTTCTTTTTTTTTTTTCTTTTTTTTTGCTACCTGTGTTCCTCGTGGGAAGTCTCTGGGATGCATGTGTGCAGCCTGGGCAGTCCTCTGAGCCACTAAAGCAGGCTTTCCTGCTGGGGTGAGTGTTCTGCCTTTGGTTGACCATTATGTCTTACTGTAAACAGTTACTTGCTGTCTCTAGGGAATGGTAAGAAGAAAATGCCGCTACTGCAGGTGAAGAACAAGAGTGTGGTGACGCAGAAGATCTCTGTACAGCTTGTTCTTGGGCTCCTGGGTTAGATCCGCATCGTTCCCCCTTACTTCCACTCATGCGGTGCAGAATCAATTGGGATTTTGCATTTGAGCTGTTCCATCACTCTGTTAGTTATTTGTTACTTGTTAGTATTTGTTAGTTAGTTATTAGCTAATGCGCTAACTCGTGTGTTCTTTGTTGTCTGGATTTTATCGCCTTTTGTTTTTGGTTAATTTATCCACATTTTTTGTTTACATTTTTTTTAAAGATAGTAACTGTAATAATATAAAATTGAAGTTGTGCTGCTGATGGGACATCTCATTTTTTTATAGTTATCTGTCACATAATTTAAGTGTACCCATTCCAAATTGTATAAAGTTCTCTCTCTCTCAATAAACAACAATGAAAGTACTTTCTCTGGTGTTAGATTTAAAATAGCTCTTACATCTAAGTTTATAACTCTGTAGTAGTCTCAATTTTTTCTGTGTTTACAGAAAATATTGTTCAAGTTTGTTTTCTGTTGATGTGCTAAACACCATGGCAAAAGCATCTTGGGGAGAAAGGATTTTACAGGCCAATCTAATCTAGACATAATCTAGGCAGTCCCTCAGTTGAAACTCCTACCCCAGGTGACTTTTGACTGTGTCAAGTTGACAATGAAAACTAGACAAGACAATGGCATAACATGTGAAAGATGTAATGTCCTGTTTTGGGCTTTCTTTGCTAAATCAAAGCAGTTCTGAGACAAATGTCCCAAGGTAATGTGCTGAATGTCCTTCCCCAGGCACCCTTTTCAGTTCTCAAGTCCCTTCCCTGGCTCACTCCATATAAGGACAAGTGCCAGCCAATCAGCATGAGGGAAAGACTGACTGAGAACCATGCTCAAGGAGTTAGGAAAATTAAATAAAGATCTAGACAGGGTGACCCATGCCTTTAATTCCAGAACTCAGGAGTTGGAGTCAGGCTACTACTCTCTGTGAGTTCCAGGACAGCCAGGTCTACATAACCAGTTCCAGGACAGCCAGGGCTACATATTTAGACCCTGTCTCAAAAAAAAGAAAAAAATAATAATAAAGAGCAGGTACCTTTGCTCTCAAATAGCCTTTGAGAGTTGAGAATTTATTAAAAATAGGCAACTTTCCTTTTGCCAAAAAGGCCTGAGAGTGCAACAACTGTCCCCTTGGAGCCTTTGCAAAGTACCATTGAGACCTACTTTTCCAAAGAAGAACATTGAAAAGAGGCTAGCAAAGGCATTTCTGGCTAAACATTTGCCAAGGGTGAACCCTGAGCCTTACTCCCTAGACACACCCAATCCAGGCCCTGCCCTGCCTGTCCACACAGGAAAGCAGCCCAGCCCATACTCTGCTCCAGGAGTAACTGGACTTCATCCTTACACCAGACCTGCCACAATTCATAACAGAAGGAAATGAGTTAATGTTTCACTTTGTGAAACTAGACACATAATGAAGCCAGAGCCCATATTCAACTGGTTACAGTTGGAGGACCCTATGCCTGAGGAACCTCAGAATGCTTGGGTACTTTCAGAGGAAGGGTGCTCATGATACATCAGAGGCTAGAAGACAACCAACATTTTGTCTCTGTCCTTCACGCTCAAAAGGCATGATTTGGTTCTACCCTGTGTTCTTTTGGTTTAGTTGTTTTTTTTTTTTTTTTTTTTTTTTTTTTTTGAGACAGGGTTTCTGTGTGTAACAGCCCTGGCTGTCCTCAAACTCACTTTGTAGACCAGGCTGTCTTCTCATTCACAGAGATCTGCTTGGCTCTGCCTCCTGAGGGCTGAGATTAAAGGTATATGCCACCATGTCCAACTTGTGACCTTATTCTGTCTTTTGATATTGACTCAAAAGGTGGCTTCAGTCGGTGATTCCCACATTGAAACACAAATAAGAGCAGAAGGCCAAGTCATATCACAGACAGTTGAGTCAAAATCATCTGTGGATGGGACCTGAAGAATAGTATTTTAAAGCTGCCTGAGTGTGGGCTAGGGATGTAGCTCGGTAGTGGAGTACTTAGCTAGCATGTCTGTACATGGATTTGGTCCCTGGATTTGATCTCCAGTACTGCAACACGTAAAGAAAGAACCTCTTAGGTGGCTCTGATATATTCTGAAAGTTAGAACCACTAGTGTAGTCAGGCCTAGTGAATGACAGAGGCCTGTAATTCCAGCTTCTTAGGAAGCTGATGAAGGAGGATTCCAAGTTCAAGGGCTCTTTGAGCTACAGAGTGAGTTCAAGGCCAACTGGGGCAACTTAATGAGATGCTGTCTCAAACTAAAAATTTAAATAAGGTGCTGGGGGCCTAGCTCAGTGGCAAAGCATTGCCTACCCAGTATATGCAAGGCCTCTGCGTTTAACGCCAATTGGAGGGGAAACTAGTCTAAATGTAGACGCTATCTTGAAATAAATATTAGTATAGTGGTGGTCTAGTCTACAGTGGGACTGTCACATGTGTGTGAAGGGACAACAGGGCTTGTTGCCTTTCTTCTCCCAACAGAACTTTGGAACTCAATGCTTACCAGCATCAATGATTTCATAAAAGTTTTCAAAAAAAAAAAAAATCACCTTTATACCCCCATTATTTCCTCCCAGGGTGTGGTTAGTTTCTACTTATCACGAATATGTCATCTGCAGAGGTCATGAACAGCTATGTCATGTCTGGAGGTGCTAAGCTAGCCACAAAGGGAGCTTTATACTCTCACCTTTCCCTGAGATGCACATATATGGGCGTCTACTCCCAGTTCAGTCCTGACCATAAAC